AGGGTGGGCCGGGCTGTGCTGCCTCCCCGTGTATACACCACCACGGGGAATACACGGGTGCGGTGTATACACGGACTAATTTACAAAAATACAATTTTCCGCAGGTTATACGTGGGTGTGGCTTATACCCGTGGGTGGGCTATATGCGCAAAAATACATTAATCATTATGGTGTAGTAGTCAGTACTGAGACCTTGTCCACAGAAATACAGACAAAATTGATAGAGACATTCACAATAGAGCAATTTTCCTGGCATCAGCACCCAAACGAAACTTCTCATCTGCCAGGCTGTTATCCTTCCTTAACTGCTGTATGGATATGAAACTTGGATTATATACGAGAAATATCTGAAAACTTCTGAATGTAACTATGAGCAACATCTACAGAAAATTCTCTGTATCGCTGGAAGGATAAAAGAACAAATGGTTCAAGTAAACACCACCAGCACTGAAGCCACATTTATACAGCACCAGCTCCATTGGACAGAGCATGTCATAACAATGTCTTGACAACCAGCTTCCAAAACAGGTCCTATATTCCCACCTCACCAATGATTAGTTACTACCCTAGAAATGGGTAAAAGAAGAGATTGAAGGACAATCTGAAGAAATGCAATCTATAACTTGGAGACCCAGTAATGTACAACAAGGCACTGATACTGATCATTTTGAGCTAACTCACTTCTCTATGAAGGCAGATACACAAGAGAGACAACAGGAAAGAGCTGTGACCCAACATCACTACAATATAGTCCTTCCTCCTGGAATTATTTGCCATGTCTGCAAACATACAGATCTCAGATAGGTTTCCTCAGTTAGCTATGGACTCACTGACTACCCTATTTACCGGAATACTGTCATCCTTGTATCAAAGGACTGCCACCACTGACAATTTTCATTTGCATTCTCCGGGCAGGGGGAGCTGTGGGAGAAGCCCCCATGGCTGTCCTGCCCGGCGGCTTGACAGGGCACCACGCGCTGTCTAGGAGCTCGGGTGGCTCCAACAGTCAGCTGGAGCCCAGCAGTGCTCAGCCCCACCGGCCCCAGCTTCCAGACAACACACACTGCCCTGCCAAGCTGTGCTGCACCCACACCATGGGGCAGCTGCTGCTCAGGTGCCAGGTGAGGGGGGCGATCCCCACTGCCCCACACTTTGCAGGGGAGGCTCTTCAATCAGAGGCCCTGATCACCACTGCTACAGCCAACACCTAAACCTGTGGGAGGACTTAAACACCCTGACACATGTAGCAGAAAATGGGGTCAGGAGGAAGGGCAGCCTGCAAAGCCCAGAAGCATGGGAAAAAACCCCTAGTAGAATATAGGCATAGCTACACCTAGATAATCCTCAACCAGTGGCTGGCCTAGCTCCTCTTGAACACTTTCACTGTTCAACTAGAAATGTCCTAGCTTTTCTTGAACACTTTCACTGTTCAACTAGAAATGAATACATATATATTTTTTTTAAAACATACCATAGCCATGAGCACAATGTTTACCCAAAAATCACCCAGAATTTTTTTTTTAACATGGTTCTTTGGCTTATTACACTCATACAGGAGATTGGCACATCTGCTTCCTTCCAAATCATTGCCTGCACCTCTGAATATTACTCAGTTTTCTGTTTAATAAAGAAAAATTCATTCTATCTCCTTGGCAGAAGGAAAGAATTTTCTGGGGCAAGCCCATTAAACAATGAGAAGAAAAAATCAGAAATTTCCCCACTGTCAAAGAAAGCCATTTCGAAGTCTTCAACTTAGAAAATTAAAAAGTAAAAATATTCAACAGCGTTCAAGACCATTCCAAAAAGCTAATACAATACTTTTGTTCAATAGACAATAATTTCCAAAATATTGTTCTAATTACTGAAGGAAGAAAGCAAAACCTCTTGCATCTACAGTTGGAACATTTTTACTTAAATGCTAAAATATTTTACCACATTATCCTTTCCCTTGCATTTAACATCACATTTAAGTTGTTCATATGGATGTAATGGAGCACACGATAAAGGGCTGCCACAACTAATGAGCCCGTTTTAATTTCTGGTTGATATGATCAAACTCTGCATAACTTTGCTCTCAATGCCCTGCTTCTCACCAAATTACCTAAATGTTTATGTGGTTATGTCTATACTCAACACTTAATAGATTAACACTTCACATTATTTATGAATGTTGTTTCCACAATGCTAACTTTATACATGTTACAGGTAGAAAACTGAAGAACTGAATGATTACCAAGTGACTTGCTCAAGGTCAGAATAAGTCAGTAGCCCAGCTATACATATAACCCAAATACCTATCCAGTGCCTTTATCTACTATCCACAAGACATCAGTTTCTATTAATATTTGCACTCTCTCTTCTGGCAACCTCCTAAAACAAATTTCATGATGCCCATGAACCTTGGTCCTCCTTTAAAGGGTACATTAAAACATCATTGTTCTCTTTCCAATGCCTCCCAATCCAATTTCATTTTTATTCTATGTTCTTTGGAACAAGAACTATGTCTCGATATTGTCTGGAAAGCACCTGGCACAGCGTTAATTAAATGATTTAGCATTCTTTTGTTTTCTCCACACTTCTTTTATTTTGTATTTCCTTAATTACGGCTTCAAAATTATCCCTATTAACACTATGCGATTTGGTACTTCCTTGGGAATTTTCTAAAAAAAATATGCAATGCATAACACCACTGCAATTTGGACAATTGATTAGAATTAAGCTCTTAACTGATTTCAGAAATAAGTTGTGTTCTCTCTCTCTTCTCTCAGCACAACACAGTAACATTTAACGTGTTCTTCAGCAAATCCATAAACCCCCAAGTGCTACATCACATCCCTGCAGGGAAAGGAACTAGTCACACCATGAACTACTCAAGCCATAAGGTACCTTATGAGCTGAATATGAGTCAACAGTTTCGAAGAAGGCTAATGGCATACTGGGCTGCATTAGTAAAAACGTTGCCAGCAGATCAAAGGAAGTGATTCTTTCCCTCTATTCATCACTGGTGAAACCACATCTGGAGTCTTGTGTCCAGTTTTGGGCCCCCCCACTACAGAAAAGATGCAGACAAATTGGAGTGTAGGACAATTTAAATGGTTCAGAGGCTGAGGCATGTAACTTCTGAGAAGAGGCTGAGGGAACTAGGCTTATTTAATCTGGAGAAGACTGAGGTGGGGATTTTAATAGCAGCCTTCAACTACCTGAAGCAGAGTTCAAAAGAGGATGGAGCTAGACTGTTCTCAGTGGTGGCAGATGACGGAACAAAAAGCAATA